AATTTATTTCGGCTTGGGCAGCCTTTAAATCTTGTTGAAGGGCGGTTAATTGTTGGGTGAGAGAAGCATTAATATTTTTTTGGTCTTGGCAATGGCGATAATTGGTTTGGCTATTCTGATAAGCCTGGCTTAATTTCCGTTTTTTGGCATTTAGTTCCCGGCTTTGATGAAGATTTTTTCTTTTTTCTTTGTTTAATTTTTGCTGGGTCGCTCCTAGTTTTTGTTGGCTTTCTCCTAGTTGTAATTTTGCCGCTTCTAATTGTGATTCTAAACTTTGTTGGCGGGTGGTGAAATCCTTCTGCTCTTTTTTTAACTTCTCTAACTCCTCTTTGACCGCTTGGTAAGCCTGTTCCTGCTCCTTGATTTTCTCTTTTAAGGCTGATTTTCGTTGGTGATTTTCCTCTCTAATTTCGTTAAGTAGCCGTTGGGCTTCCGCCCCGCACTGTCTAATTTTGTTCTCTCTCTCTCTCTCTGCTGCTTGTGTATTTTCTTGAAATAAATCCTTGAATTTGTTATTGTTATATTCAGCAGTTTGAAAATCCTCCACTAAATCCAAAATAGTCTCTCACAGCAAATTTTTATATTCAATTATTCGTTCGGGTTGGTGGGGAAAATCGGTGGGAATATCTGACTTTTTAGTTACCATTTTTTCTATCTGGCTGAAAAGACCACGATTACTATCATAAGTTCTTCAAATGTAATTTAAACTTCCTTGAGCCAGAGCAATAACTTCAAAAACATTTTTTTCCTGCTTAATTTCTTTGATTCTTTCTTCCACATAAGCATCTAGTCTTAAATTAGTTTCTTGATTGGCTAATTCTAATTCTTTACTTCAAAATTGTTGGATTTTAATTATATTATTTTTCATGGCATTATTATATAAAGCAGTTTTACAAAAAAAAAAAAAAAAAACAAGTATTTAATAAATAACAAGAAGAACTTCAAGCATTAGTTGAGGAAATAATGTGTTAACAAAAGCCAGGGGAATTTAACCACTCCCCCTAATAACTGCGATTCTTACTGAAACTATTCTAGAAGTAAAGAGTTAATTGAAAAACAAATAAAATCACAAAAATCCAGTAGTCAAGCCTCAAGTGCTAGTCAACCAGTGAGAAAACAACTAAGTGGTGAAAGCCAGTTAAAAGCACAACAGCAGCACGTAAACCTTCCGCCGAGGAAATCTCCCCACTAGTAGTTGTGATTAAAAACAGTAGTTTAGGGAATTTGGTGAAAGTTCTGTCTAGTAACTGATGATTAGGGAGGGATAAATGCGTTGAATAATATCAAAATCAATCACTACTTAATTTGCTATAATTGCTTAGCAGAAGTAGTGATTGTAAAACAATTTTTAACATAACTAATACAAATCAAAAAAACATATGGTAAATGCACAACAGTGGTTAAACAGCAAATTTCCCAACCAAGATGCTAAAAGAAAAATTAAGCAATTATATATTTATGCTACTAACAGCACCGATAACAATAACAATGGGAATTATTATTTTTATAATGTCCAATTAGAAGGAGAATTAAATTTAGAAGAATTTTGCAATTTAGAATACATTCAGATTCAAGGGAATAGTTCTAATCTAAACAATTATCAAAAACTTACTTCACTGAAAATAGCAAATTGTAGAAAATTAAGAACTTTTTATCTCTATTATAATAATTCTCAGTTTACTATGGATGGAAGCAAAGCACTCACTACTCTTTATTTGCAGCACTGCCAAAACTTAACTAATCTGCAACTTTCAGAACAACTAAGCAAATTAACTAATCTGCAAATTCAAAATTGCTCTAATTTAACTACTATTAATGGACTTGACAATTTAATTACTCTCAATAGTTTAAACCTTAACAATTGTGGTCAATTAACTACTTTAAATGGATTAGATGGGCTTTATCGGCTAACAAATTTTACTATGGTTGGTGGAAGGGTGACCAGTCTAGAAAATTTTAATAATTCAAGTGAATTAGAAGCAGCAGCCAAAGCCCGAGATGCCGCCCAAGCCGATTTAGCCACTGAAAGAACTAATCACCAAAACACCCAGCAAACTTTAAAAGTTTGGACGGCTGAGTTTGGTGACAATCCTGAGGAAGTTAAAGCTGCCCGAGATAAAAACCAAGCCGATTTAGCCCAAGCCCAAAAAGCTTACACTGCCGAACAAGCCGAACATAACAAAACTAAAACTGAATTAACTAATACGAAAGTTGAACGAGACTCCCAACCAAATATTACTCTCGCAGAATACCAACAACTTTTAGATAATCAAAAACCTGAAGAATTACCTGCTAACTGAAAAGAACAATTAGAAAAAATTCCGGGTTTAGAAGCCAACCAAAGACCAGCCAATTTACCAACTAATTGAACTAACCTAAGCACTTTAACTATTCAAAATTGTTATTCGTTAACAAAGGGACCAAACCTTTCCAATTTACCAAAGTTAACTAATCTAACTATTGTCAATGCTCCTTTTTTCCCTAATTGGCAAGAAAAGGCTATGTTGCTCGGTGAGCTTGATAAATTAACTAACCCCAATATTTCCCAAGAAATAACTAAGTTAAGAGAAAGAGTTCGCAACCTAAAAATAGAACACTTGCCTCCTAAATTAGCCAACCAAAAATCTGAACTACAGCAATTGATTAACCAATCTAAAAATAAATTAGGAGAATTACAAAGTTTATTAGATATTTTTCTCGATAATCAAATTGAAGTTGTTCAAAACCCTGAAAATGATTTCGCTCGTAAACAAACTGGAAAGTTAAAGGGACTTTTAAGAGCCAAATTAACTGATGCTGAAATTAAAAATTTACAAGATAAACAAGCCGAAATTATTCAATTACAAGAGCAATTAACTTCTTGACAAGACCAGCAATTAGAAGCAAAAGTAGAAATCCCTTTAAGACCTTACTAGGTAATTTTGCTAGGTTGATAAACTTTTAGAAAGGTTATTTATCTTTCTTTAATGTATTAAAACTATTTAACTATGCACTGTGATATTTGTGGTAAAAAATTTAGTGGTGATGTATTACGATACAAGAACACTACTTATTGCCCTGATTGTCGTCAAAAAGCCGAACAAGAAGGGAAGGATCCTTGAAACAAATTTTTAAAACCTGGTGGGCTTGGTCTTGGTTGGTGAATGTTAATTGTGGCACTTTTGATAATGGGATTAGTTGTTCTGATTTATTGATTAGTAAAAAGAAAGAAAGAAAATTGATAAAAAGGCGATTATACTTTTTTGACTTCAATACAGAATTTTTGCTTACTATCATCGGTAATTGTTCGGCCTTTACTTCTTTTATTCATTCTCTAAATCTAATACTAATTGCAACCTACTTTTTATTTCCATCATTATTTCGCTTTCTGCCTGTCCATAGTACTTAATTATTCTTTTCTTGTCGATACTTCGGATTTGGTTAAGGAGAATTTTACTCTTTTTTGCTAAACCATTTTCCTGACTGGGAACGATAACTTTTTCAAATAACCTTTCTCTTTTTAAAGTAGAGGTAATGGGAGCTACAATCACATAGTGTCCGTACTCGTTTTGAATGTCATTGCTAACGATTAAACCTGGATGAACTTCTTTAATTTCCTTGCCTCGGCTAGGGCTAAAATTAATTTGGTAAATTTCTCCTTTACGAGGAAAGGTGCGAGGGAACAACTTACTCATCTTTTTTTAATCCATCGTTGCTGGCTTGGGCTCAGTCCGTTAGTTCTTGATTTAATTCTTCATCTTGAGCCGCATCTTGGTAATCAGCGATTAATTGTTTTTTAAAATTGTCTTTAGTTTTCTTTTGTTCTTGGGCTAGTTTTTCCTCCGTGGCTTCATTGATAAATCGGCTGATTTTCCGTTGGGAGATTAAATCTTTGATTTTATTATAAGTTTCTTCTTGAAAATAAATATTTACATTGCGACCAGTCATAATATATTATTTTAGGTGAGTATGTAGTTAGGTTAGGCATGGGCAGTAGAAGTTCCTAAGTATGTAAGTAATTACCTATTAACTGTTCGGCTGACTGAATTATGATGGCATGATTAGTTGGTTTTTTTTATTCCTCTCATAATGTTAAGAAAAACTCGAGAGTGAATAAAATTGCTTGTTTATATAATTCTCTTAAAATGTTATATTATGGTAAGCAAGAAAATTAACCATGAAAAAACCGAATATCAAAAATATTTG